TATATATATATATATACACACACACACATATATATACAATGCTGTAACTTAATGAGCTGTACTGCAAAGTCGGTTTGAACTGTAAGATCGGCGGTTTGAGCTCACCAGCTGCTCCTTGGAATCCCTATACAGGATCCCTAGGGGTCAGAACTGAGTCGATGGCACTTAACAATAACATATATATATACACACACACATACATATACATATTGACTGTGTGTGGTACTCCATCCTCATGAATGACTAGTATGTGTCAATGAATATATATATGGAGTACTGATGTGATCGATACTGTAGGAGAAGCACTGCAATGCCAGCAGTTCAACCCACCAGCTGCTCCTGGAAAACACTTTGCAAGGCTTCTGTGAGTCAGAGACAATTTCACAGCACTTCACAACTATGAAATAGATATAGATATAGATATAGATATAGATAGATAGACAGACAGACAGAGAGATAGTCCTGGTATGGCTTTGTGGGTTAATGTGCTGGACTGTAAGATTGGTTTGCACCACAAGGTCAGCAGCTTGAGCTCACCAGCTGCTCCTCAGGGACCCTATTCAGGTTTACTCTGAGTCAGAACTGCCTTCACTGCATCTAACAAGAATAATAACAACTCCTCCCTTGCTGATCTGGCTCCAGTCATGCCAGCTTTCTTTCCATTTCTTGAACATACAGGTTGGCCTCATGGCCTTTGCACTGGATGTTCCTTCTGCCTGCAGTGATCAGTGAGATGTCCCATGGCCATCTATTTTAAATTACAACCTTCCAACTCCTCACATTCCAACACCCCTCATTGGATTTTATTCATAGCTCTTCTCAGCTTCTATGCAGAAAATCTTTTTTGATTATTTTTCAGTTTGTCTCCCCCATCTCAGATTAGAACAATCTCCACATAAGACATTTTATCTTTTTTGTTCATTAATGTATACGAAGTACTTAGAAAAGTCCCTGGTACATTGTTGTTGTTAGGTGCTGTTGAGTTCGTTCTGACTCATAGTGACTTTATGCACAACAAAACAAAACACTGCCTGATCCTAACAATAGTTTTTAAGCTTGAGCCCATTGCTGCTGCCACTATGCCAATCCATCTTGTTAAGGGTCTTCCTGTTTTTCACTGACCCTCCACTTTACCTAGCATAATATGTTTCTCCAGCGACTGGGCCCTCCTGATAAATATCTCTGAAGTATGAAAGACTAAGTCTCACCATTCTGGTTTCTAAAGAGCACTCCAGCTGTACTTCCTCCAACACAGATCTGTTTGTTCTCATAGCAGTCCATGGTAGCTTCAATATTCTTCTCCAGCAGGACAATTTAAATGCATCAATTCTTCTACAGTCTTCCTTATCCATTGTCCAAATTTCACATGCATATGAGGCTATTGAAAATATCATGGCTTAGGTCAGGTGCACCTTGGATCTTGAACACTTTAAGGAGATCTTGTGCAGCAGGTTTGCCTAGTGCACTACATTGTTTGATTTCTTGACAGCTACTTCCATTGAGTGCTCATAGTAAACCCAAGCAAAATAATCTTTTGACAACTTCAATCTTTTTTCCATTCATCATGATGTTATTTATTGGTTCAGTGGTGAGAATTTTTGTTTTCTTTACACTGAGTGCAACCTATACCAAAGGTTGTGGTCTTTGATCTTCATCAGTAAGTATTTGAAGTCCTCTTTGCTTTCAGCAGGCAAGGTTGTATCATCTGCATATCAACGGTTGTTTATGAGTCTTCCTCCAATCCTGATACCATGTTCTTCTTCATATAATCCAGCTTCTCAGATTATTTGCTCAGCATAGAGATTGAGCAAACGTGGTAGAAGACTACAACCCTGGCACCCACCTTTCCTGGTTTTAAACCATTCGGTGTCCCCTTGTTCTATTCGAATGACTATTTCTTGGTGTATGTATAGGCACCTCATGAGCACAATTAAATGTTCTGGGATACATATATATCCAATGTATATGTTTCTCGCAATGTTTTCCATAGTGTGTCAGGATCCACAAAGTCAAAAGCTTTTGCACAGTCAGTAAAGTACATGTAAACATCTTTCTGGTATTCTCTGTTTTCAGCCAAGATCCATCTGACATCAACAATGATATCCATCATTCCACGCCTTGCTCTGCATTCAATTTGAACCTCTGGCACTTTTCCATCATTGAACAATTGCAGGCGTTGTTTTAGTTATCTGTAGCAAAATTTTACTTGCATATGATATTGATATTCAATGATTTCCACATTCTGTGGGGTCACTTCTCTTTGGCACCTAGAAGACTTGCTGATATTTGTCTGTTTTGTTCACTAAAGTATATGAAGTACCAGAAGAGTCCCTAGTACATAGAGAAGGCTCAATAAAAGTTAGCTGAATGGATGTAAAATTTAAGGATAGCAGACATTTGTATTCACAGAATTTTGTTTTCTGCTTGTGAACAGTTATGTGCATGTCATGACCCAGGTTAAGAAGACTAGTGAAAAAATTCCCATTGAACAGTTCTTCACATCACAAAAATGTTGATATTCCCGGTCTATGCATTTTTATCAAAATCTTTCAGTGTAGTTAGTTCATCTTTGTCCAGTGTGAAGAGGAATGGCAAACTGATTAAACTATGAACACTAAAATGTGAACAACGAATAGTCCTGTTAAAGGGCATTTAAAGGGGCAGCTTGTTCACTTGTTTACAACTATAAGAAGTAACATTAACAGACACCAGCCAGTGCAGACAACCCTAGGACTTAGTGCCCGTAGTTCTGGGTTTGAACTCAGTTCTGCCATTTACAATAGCTTTCACATTAAAAATTCTCCCCTCTCCATCTTTTTATTCCCCAATTTTTTTTGTTTCCATCTGAAAATCAGGAATAGTAATTCTTGTCCTATCTGCCTCAAGGATACAAAAATATAATTGATTAAGGAACTTCAGATTTGAAAGGGATTGAAGCAATCATCTGAGGGTTTTTTTGTTTTGTTTTTTGTTTGTTTTGCTTTTTAGATGATTATTTACAGTTTACAAATCACTTTAAATAAATACACTGTTTCATTTAATTCTCAGAACAACTATCTAAAATAGGGCAAGAACCAAATTCATTTCATTTCACAAGAAGAAAATTGGGGTTCAGAAAGGGGAAGTGACTTGTCTAAGACTCTGTGACATGTTAGCAGCAGAGCTTGGGTTCTTTGCTTGGTGGTTCTTTTGCTCTTCATAACTCTCCCTGTAGAACCAGATAGAAGCCCCTAGAACCAGACAAGCAGCTCTTGTGTGCATACCTCACTAACATCCAGAAAGCCCCATTCCCTAGTCAGATGGTTCTGGTAGTAGCTGTCCTTTGGGGTGGTGTGGAATTGTTACATAGAGAAGGGTGAGTAATAGGGCTTTTTACCCTAATGTGAGTTTGACAGGAAAGGAGCTTATTCACATATTCAGAGAATATAGCCAACCAATCATGTCATGTCCCTGCTTATAGTCCTTCAAAGGCTTCCTGCCTCCCTGAGAGTGCCTGATGTGCACTCTCAACAGCTGGGTTCAGCCTCAGACCACCTCTCCATGCCACACACATGCTCTGATTCCCCCTTCCTGAATCATGTTCCCTCTGCCTGGAACATCCTCCCCTACCAACTTCACCTCCCTGCCCCCATCCTCCCGCTCTTACACAAGTCTCAGCACATTGAATGGAATTCATCTGTCTTCCCAGCCTCCCCAGCTAGACCATGAACTGGAAAAGTTTGGGTCCATGGGTGATCCTCTGCCCTGGTGTCCAGTACACACGGTGGGTGACTGCCCCAGCCCAGCTCCCTCACAGACAGCTCTGCTTCACTCACCAACCAGACCAGGAGAGGGTTAAACAATCAAGTTGGCCCTGGATCAGCCTTGGCCCAGTGTTTAACTAGATGCTCAGCTCAGCTCTGGGACACAATCCATTTAGGTCTTTCCTAAAGCTATGACCTGGGCCCCTTACTGCCTTTTAGGCCCATTCCTTCCCTAGGCCCTGAGTCCAGAGCTGCCTGGAGGCTGGCGGCTGGGGAGGAGGAGGAATAAAGCTGGGGCTGGGGCTGGGGATGTGAAAAGCAAAAGAAGAGCTTGGTCCAAGCTCTGCCCTAGCTCGCTGAGCAGCGCTGGCTGAGTCCCTCCCATTCCTGCCTCGGTATCCCCATCTGTGCAGAGAATGCTCATCAAGGTGGTCCCAAGAGTCCCTCCTGATGGGGCTAGTCAAGACAAAGGGATCCTCAGACTCCAGAACCCCTAAGTTGGGAGGGACTTTCCATCTTAGAGACTATTAATTGCCCTGGAGTCAGTTGGGGTGGGTAAATCTTTAACTAGCTGGTCTGGGGCAGGCTGGAGCCTTTCCGGATGGATGACTGCCTGGGTTAGGGGTGGGGGTGGGGATGTAAAAGGTGTGCGGCCAGTCTGAATGGATTGGAGAAGGGGAGGGGGGTGCTGGGAAGGAAAGGAGAGGGCCTCAGGCGGAGCTGAGCGTGCAGGGCAGGACATGGAGGAGCGCGGGTCTCCCGACGGGTAAGAAGACCTCCAAGGAGGTTTGAGAGTCCCAGCAGGAAGGTGCTGGACGAAGGGATGGTAACTCGCATTGCTGCTACAGGGACCCGGCACGGAGTCTCGAGCAGGGACCAGAAGGGCCGGAAACGCCCATTCAGGTGGTGCTCAGGTGGGTGTAGGTTGGCGGGGAACCTCCCCCACCCCTTCGCCCCGCACGCCCAGTCAAGAACCTCTAAAGACCTCAGTACGGACTATCTGTCCGCCAACCGGCCCCTAGGGTGCGTCCCATGAGCGCGGCCGAGCTGCGTCGAGGGGAACAGAGTGCCCTGCACTGCTCTGGGATCCGGACCTTGCAGGTGAGAACACCCCCCCCCCAAAAAAAAAACAAATATTACCCCTAGGATACCCCTACCAGTCCCCAGACATTGTTGCTCCAGGCCCCGCCCCTCCAGTGCCCCGCCCCTTCTCCTTTCCCACCCCCCCGCCCTCCCTCTAGGTGAGCCCCCCGGGCGGGGGCCCAGACGTGGCGTTCCGCTTCGGGGCTGTGCTGGACGGGGCGCGCACGCAGGAGGAAGTGTTCCGGGCGTGCGGCGTGAGGCGTCTAGGCGAGCTGGCGCTGCGCGGGTGAGTGGGGGCGGTCGGCGCACCTCGAGCTGTGGGCCCTCCCCCAATCACCCACCAACGGCCCACTCACTCTTCTGTCAACCCGCAGCTTCTCCTGCACGGTCTTCACCTTTGGTCAGACCGGCTCCGGCAAGACCTACACCCTGACCGGACCCCCTCCCCAGGTGGGTTGACCCAAGCAGATGTGTGAAGGGGTGACCCGGGAACAGGGACCAATGGGCTGGAAGGTCTGTGAGACATAGGGGTAGTGCAGACTCTCAGAGTGAGAGGGGTTTAGACTGAATCAAATCAGCCCCCATTTATTTAGAGACTAGGAAAGGAGGACCAGAGAAGTGGTGGGACTTCCTCCAGTGGAGTCAACAAAACCCGAGTTCAAATAGTGGCCCCTTTGCTTGCTAGCTCTCGATTTCCTTGTCTGTACAATGGAACTAATAGAATCTACTGTGAGAATCAGATGAGCTGGAGTCAGGCACAGTGCCTGAAATAGTAAGTGTTCAACCAAAGGCTACTCTTGCCTCAGTTTCAGCTCTTTTTGCCCCCAGGGGGAGGGAGTGCCTGTACCCCAGGGCCTGGCTGGTATCATGCAGAGGACCTTTGCCTGGCTGATAGACCGCATCCAGCACCTGGGGACCCCTGTTACCCTCCGTGCCTCTTACCTGGAAATCTACAATGAGCAGGTATGTAGTGAGGTGGCCGAAGCCAGTGTGAGAAAGGGGCGGGGTTGGGAGTGGATGGTCCATGGTCTCAGAGAGGGGCCTTTCCTCACCCTCCAACTGGTCACTTCCCAGGTTCAGGACTTGCTGAGTTTGGGGTCTCCCAGGCCCCTCGCTGTTCGTTGGAACAAGACCCGGGGCTTCTATGTGGAGCAGCTGCGTGTGGTGGAGTTTGAGAGTTTAGAAGCGCTGATGGAACTCCTGCAAATGGGTGTGTGCTACTTCAGGGTAACTTTGGGGTGCAGAGGAGGTCATTTCTCAAATGTTCACTGAGTGTGGACTTGAGGCCCTAGCTTGGAGATTGGATTTGGAGATGACTTATGGGGGGAAAGGACCAGCCAGCAATAATTTCAACGAGGTAGTCTTCCACGCTCCTTTGGAGCCCTAACCTTTGCCCAAAGCCTCTGCCTCAGTTACCCACATTCTTGTTCACATTATCTCCCCATCTCAAGTCTCTTCCCTTTCAATCCATTTTCCATGCAGCAAGCCATGCCCCTCCACTGGTCCATAAACGTGCCTGGCTCCCATTACCTTTAGGATGAAGGTTAGACTTCTAAGCCTGGGTGTACAAAGCCCTTCCTCTTCAGATGCATTCATTGATTGATCAAATATTTATTGATAACCTGTTGCATGGCAGGCATTGGAGACATTGAGACTTTCTGTTCTGGCCCAGGCACTGTGTTCTGCCTCCTGTCTGGATCATTCTGCCTCAGCCTCTCATCTTCCCTCCACACAAAAACAGGAGAGACGTTTACAAAAAGTGAATCTGTTGTAATTCTTCTGCTTAGTTCACCCCATTCTCCTCTCTTTTCTCTGTGCTTAGGCTAGACCCAACATCCCTTCACTTCTTGAACCAACACCACTTTGCGGCCTCTGGGCCTTTGCCCAGACTGTTCCCTCTATCAGGATGCCATTGCTACTTTTCCTTCATTGATGACCGCCTGCCGTTCCTTGCTAGGTCCAGTACCTGATGTTTTCCCCTTCAGGTCTCAGCCGTCGAAGGAGCTCAGCGCACACCCTGAACCAGGCCTCCAGTCGAAGCCATGCCCTGTTCACAGTCTATATCAGCCACCTAACTGTGAGTGGCTCCGGCTTGGGGAAGAAGCTAACCCAGGTTTCCCCAGCAAGGGCCACCTCTAGATATCTAAATGTACTTAGGCTTGCATGGGAGGTCATGGTGGGAATCCTTGGCCTTGTCATCTTAGGACTCGGATGGGGTCAGCTCCTCCCAACCAAGACCCACTAAGCCCTGATTCTCCAGGCCCAGCAGATGCCTCCTGTGGAGCCTGGGGAGCCCCCTGGTGGTGGGAAACTGTGCTTTGTGGACCTGGCTGGCAGTGAAAAGGTGGCAGTCACAGGATCCCGTGGGACCCTGATGCTGGAGGCCAACAGCATCAACCGAAGCCTGCTGGCCCTTGGTGAGACCAATTTCCTGAGGTAGTTGTCTGCACCTGACCCATAGCTGTCCACACTGGGGGACTGGAGGAGTTGGAGTGCATATTGTTGAGTGCTGTCTAGTGGGTTCTGACTCATAGCGACCATTTGTAGATTTCCAAGGAGTGGCTAGTGGGTTTGAACCACTGGCCTTGCAATTAGTGGTACAGTGCTTACCTTACAGTGCCACACCAGGACTTGGTTGTAGTGCATGGAGGGTGTTAAGGAACTGTGATCCAGACACCAGAGGCCTCATTTTGGCCCCAGCCCTGCTATTGACTCTTTTTCATCACCCCTTTCAGAACTTTGTCTGTTTTTCTATATAGATCTCTAAAATTCCCTTCTAGTTTGGGAGGTAGGAACATTCCCTTCTGAGTTTGAGTCCTCAGAGCCATTCAGCCTATCCCTGGTACAGTTGGGAAGCTGAAACCCAGCGAGGGAAGGGAATTGACCTGTCCCCTTCCCCTACCACCAGTTTATGGGATTTTGTGACTCATAAGAGTGAAGGGAGTTCTTGGTGGTTTTCTGTGACTTACATGGAGAGCTGTGAAGGAATCTTCTCTTCACTCAATCCATTTGTTAGATATCTCTGGAGTTGCTGCTGCCGGCCAGGCATTGGGGCATCAAGAGAAGTCACAGAGTGGTGGCAGAGACCCACTTATGATGACACATGTGGAAGGAGTGGGCTTTTAGAGTGATACAGGCCTGGGTGACAGTCCCAGCTCTACAGCATGCCAGCTGATGGCCTCAGAGAAGCCATATAACCTTTCTGGTCCTTGCTTTCTCTGCTCAGGTCACTGCATCTCCCTGCTGCTGGACCCCCATCGGAAACAGAGCCACATTCCCTTCCGGGATAGCAAGCTCACCAAACTGTTGGCAGACTCACTGGGGGGACGCGGGGTCACTCTAATGGTACCCAAGGGGACCTGGCAGGGAGGACTGGAGCCTGAGGGAGGCCCTTCCAAAGAGGATTATTAAGGAGCAGCCCTTGCAGGTAGCCTGCGTGTCCCCCTCAGCCCAGTGCCTTCCTGAGACGCTCAACACCCTGCGGTATGCTAACCGAGCCCAGCGAGTTACCACTCGGCCGCAGGTTCCCAAGGTGAATGAAGAAGGGACAGGCAAGAGGGCTTATCCAGAACCAGGACACAGTTGGAGCTTGAGTTGAAGCATCATAGTTGACTTCTGGGAGTGGACCAGGGTTGGCATTAGGGTTGTGGTCTTAGAGATAATGCCATGGGTGGGTAAGGTGAGCCAGAGTTCACATCAGGTCATTGTCAGGTTAGAACCGGCCTAAGTTGGGGTCTGGTTTGAAGTATGATTAAAGGGTCTAATCAGGATCCCCGTTGGTATCATGGTTAACTCTAAGTTGAGTTGATGTCTAATGGCGGTGGTGGTTGTATGCTGTTGAGTCAGTTCTGACTCATAGCGACCCTGCATAGGGTTTCCACAGCTGTGAATCTTTACAGGAGCAGAAAGCCTCATCTTTCTCCCACTGATGTCTGATTTGAGGTCTTATTTGGAGTTATATAATCTAAACCAAGGTTGGCACAGAATTGAGTTTGGGACTGAACTTGATATAATTAGGAAAGGACGCCCTCTCTGGTGGATGCAGTCTTGTGTCTGGATGCAGGGCCAGGGAGTGCAGTGTGGGCTGGAGTCACTAGATGGCCACACCTGGAAGCCCTGGTGTTATGCATCTCCTGTGCAGCCATAGATGGCACCTAGGGGCCTCTGTCTCCACAGAGCCCTGCAGCAAAGCAGCCCCAGCGTCTGGAGACTGAGGTGCTGCCGCTCCAGAAAGAGAGCCATCACCTACGGACGCAGCTGGACCAAGGAGATTTCAAAGGTCAGACCTTCCCAGGGATGGGGCTGGGATGTGGCAGGGTCTGGGGCTCCTGGTGGATCCAGCCACCTCCCCTTCCCTGTAGCCTCCAGGCTCAGTGAGACTCGGGGGGCCTGGGCCCAGCGGAACCTCGAAGGGATACTACAGGAATTCATGCTGGAAAATGAAAGACTCAGGTAGGACCCAGCCCATGGCCAGGGGGCCCAGGGTCCCTCCCCTCGCTGCTGGTCTGCTTCTGCCAAGCTGCCTTCCGCCATCCCGTCCTTAGCTGTGTACCCCACCTGCTCGCCTCCTGTCACCCCTCCTCAGGAAAGAGAAGCAGCAGCTACAGAATCGCTGGGATCTGGCACGGGATGAGCAGCATGTCCTGGCTCAGCAGGTCCACGAGCTGGAGAGGTGAACCCTGCTGCCAGCTGTGAGGTAGACCCCAGGGTGAAAGACAGGCAGGAAAGGGGTTGTTTCATGAAATGGTTCCGAGTCTGGCCTCCGGAATCAGGCCAAACCAAACCAGACCCACTGCCACTGAGTCAACTCTGACTGATAATGACCCTGCATTCACACTGGGTTTCAGAAGCTATAAATCTTGACAGGAGCAGGCAGTCTCGTCTTTCTCCCTTCGTGCAGCTGATGGGTTTGAACTGCTGATCTTGTGGTTCAGACCAACCTTTTGGTTCAGTGCTGAATCCCCCGGTGCCACACCTACTAGCTGTGTGATATTATTGAGTGAGGTATTTAATCTCTCAATGCCTCCTTTCTGTCTTCTGTAAAATGGGGATACCAGTAGTTAGGGTCCTTTTAAAGACTGAATGGAGTGAATTCATATGGAAAGCACATAGTCAGTGCACACACGTTTGTTACATCAAGTGGGACTTGGCAGACAGTCTGGGTGCAGGCCTGTGGGCTGCAGGCACAGATCACATCGTTCCTTCCAGGCGCCTTCTCTCTGCTTGCTACCTTCACCAGCCAGGCCCAGGCCCAGCCCACCCATGTCCCTGCTTGATGCTGCCAGCTGCTCCCTGCCATGTGAGTCTCACTGCCTGGCCTTCAGGGCAAGGAGCAGGCCATCACAGGAGCCTCTGACACACCTTCTCATAGGCACTGCCCCCCCTCTGCGTCTGGCCCGCCTGCCACCTCTGTCCCCTGTGTCGAGCACCTCTGGCCCACTGGGCCTGCCCACGGAGGGAACTCCACCTGCCTCAGGTAGGAAAAGTCAAGGTGAGAGATGAGGGAAGGCTGGAAGAGTGGGGAGCAAGGGGGTCACAATTCAGGAGGCTCCAAAAGCTCCCGGATTTCAGGTCCCCGGCTGAGTCACAGAGAGGGAGCACGGGCTTTGGCCTCCCTTGGCCCGGAGCTTAGATAAACTGCTTGTCTCCCTTCTCTTTCCCTCCTTTCTCTGCCTTTCACATATTCACACATTAACCTACTCATTTATTCATTCACTCACTTAATCTCTCCCTTAGCTCCTTGCCTTGGGCCTGCCCCATCTCTGGATATTGAGAATTCAAAGATAAACCAGACATGGACCCTGCTCTCAAGGGGTTCCCAGTCTCAAGAGGGGGCATTTTTCTGCACACAACAAAAAAGAACCAAGACCCCACCCTCATATGCCAACCTGACCCTTTTTCGCCCTGTGGGGCAGGGGGATCCTGTTGTAGATGGCACCAGGGGGTGGGGTAAGGTCATCCAGGGTGATCTGGTCTCTTCTGCAGATGTTTGTCCCTGAGGCCCCATCCAGCGTGCCCCTGTCTGCCCGACCCCCACCCTGCGTACCACCATGCAGCTCTGCCTCCACCAAGTGCCCCAGAGAGAGGTGGGCCCAGCCCTGGGGAGGTGGGGTGGTGGCCTGGGGAGCTTGAAGTCTCACCCCCAACTCCACCTGCCTCAGGTCCAGGACTCACAGTGACTGGACTCAGACCCGAGACCTGGCAGAGATACTGACCAAGGAAGAGGTGGTCCCCTCTGCACCCCCACTGCCCCTGGGGCCCTCAAACTCATCACCAGTGCTGAAAGGTGAAGGAGGGAGAGAGGGAGGGGCCCCTTGACGGCTCTGTGACCTTGGACCAGAGCCCACCCTCTCCAACACTGCAGCTCATAGTCTTCCCATCTCTGAAGTGGGTTGGGTGTTGAGAAGTGAGTTCTAAGATCCCTTCCAGTTCCTGAAGTCAGAATTCTCTTACTGAGGCCAGCTGTGTACCCAACTGTGCTGGAGCCCATGGTGTGTGGAGGGGTGGAGGAGGTCCCCGCCTGAGACTCCTCCAGAGCATGGAGGATCCCAGAGGGCCTGGGGGGAACCCTCAGGAATACAGGCCTCAACTCTAACTGTGCTCCTTAGGTGCAGCTGGGGTCCCGAGCTTGGCAAGGAGACTGGAGGCCCTAAGAGACCAGATCGGCAGCTCCCTGCGACGGGGCCGGAGTCAACCACGCCCCAGTGAGGGTACACTGAGCCCTGGCCAAGTCCTCCCTCCCTGTTGAATGCAAAGTAGAGACCCAGGAGACTTCTGTGTGACCTGGAGCCAGGCTCTGCACCCCTGGACTCAATATCCCCATCTGTAAAATGGGAGCACACCTGCTGTTCCACCCTGAAGCTGGGCTGGACAGAAGACAGTTCCCACAAGCTGGGAGCGAGGCTGGGGGCACTACTTGGTGGAGCAAAGGGAACATTGCCCCAGACCACAGGAAATAAGGCAGACAGCAGGTAATGAAATAAATGAATAAAGAGAGGCTTCCCCTCCAAGTCTGGTTGGTCCTGTCTTCTGGGCTAGTCAGTTTCCCCATGGAGGAAATTCAAGAGATAAGCTTCTAGGGAGAGTCTGAGCCCTTTTCATATAGCACATGAGTTTTAATTGAGCTGGCTGCTGGCAAGGCTTAGGGGAATACATTGGTGCTTATCCCCACAAAGGAGGCCTGAGGGAACCTGAGTTGGCATTAAGCTGAGGCAGGTGGTAGATCGAGGGGCTAGCTCCTGTGCCAGCTGCATGTGCCATGGTGGATAGAGCCCAGGATGCCTGTGTTTTGTTACCACAGACCTCTGGGATGCTAGGCAAGTCCTGTGCCCTCTCTGTACCAATTCCTAGTTTCCACATGATTAATTGAGGGACAAAGCTCCCTGTCTCATTGAACTCTAGTGAGAGTCAGGGATGTGTGGAATATTATGAATCCCAGCTAAGTATAAGGTGCACTGGGCTGCTAACCAGAAGGTCAGCAGATCAAACCCACCAGCCGCTCCAAGTGAGAAAGATGTGGCAGTCTGCTTGTGTAAAGATTTGCAGTCTTGAAACCCTCTGGACGTTCTACTCTGTCCAATAGGTTGGCTACACATCTGAATCAATGGCAGTAGGTTTGCCCTAAGTACCTAATAGAAGACGGTGGTCTACATTCTGGCGAAGTCCAGATGTGGCCTGAGAAATTGCTGGTAGGAGTGGAAGGATCTCATTACAGAAAGAGGCTGAGTCTAACCTGAGTCTCCCCTTAGATAGTTAGAGAACATGAGACCAGGAGATAAACGTGGTTTATCCCTTTGTTCATTTGTTCCATCATCCAACATGCTTCACTGGCAACAGCTGAAGGCCAACCTGGAAGATGACAAACCCCCGACAACAAACCAGGTCACTTTGCCCAGGCAGCTCATAGACTTGGGGGGGGGGGGGGACAGACACACACATTCACAACCACAATTTATGCATGGATGGGGAGCTTGGATGACTAGAGGCACAGAAGTGTGGTCGTAGTTTGACATAGAGTCGGTTCCGACTCATAGTGACCCTACATAAAGTTTCTGAGGTTGTAAATATTTATGGAAGCAGAAAGACTCATCTTTCTCCAGAGGAGCAGAAGGTAGATTCCAACTGCTGACCTTTTGGTTAGCAGCCCAACAAATAACCACTACACTACCAGGGTGTGGCGCTGTGGGTTAATGCGCCAGACTACAAAGCCATTTGAACTGCAAGGTCGGTGGTTCAAGCTCACCAGCTGCTCCTTGGAAACCCTATACAGGGTCGCTATGGGTTGAAACTGATTCAATGGCACTTAACAACAACAACCAGGGCACCTTGGAGGTACAGAGGAAGGCTACTTTAATTAGACGCAGTGGAGGGTGTGAGACTTAAGGTTTTGTGCCAACCTGGTGGTTTAGCAGCTAAGATGTAGTTACCACCTCCAGGATGAGACCTAACAGGATGCAATCACCCCTTGACTAATGGAAAGTGACCCGCCCTGATCTGATGTGATTATCCTCTCTGCTGTAAATCCTTACTTCCAGGATGTTAATGAGGCCAAATGGCATTTGCAGGATTAGGCTGTATTTTGAGTTGCTCTCTTTTGAGATATAAAACAAGAAAGACGTGAGCAGAGAGAGAAGGACCTAGTATCACTAACATAAAAGAGCTGGGAGTGGAATGTGTCCTTTGGGCCTGGGGTCCTGCACTGTGAAGCTTCTAGATCCAGGGAAAGACTGATACCAAGACACATGGAGATCTTAGAGGAATGCTGGGCCCACAGATGCAGAAAGGAAACCACCTTTCTCCAAAGCTATCACTCTGAATTCAGACTTCCAGCCTCTCAAACGGTGAGTGAATCGTTTCATTTGTTCAAGTCCTCCGCATATTGTTAGTGTCAGTGAGTCATTTCCACTCATAATGACCACCGAGTCCTGTGCCATCCGCACAATTGCTGCTATGCTTGAGCCCATTACTGCTGCCACAGTGCCAATCCATTTCATTTGGCGGGGGGCGGGGGTCTCCCTGATTTTCACTGAGCCTCCACTTGACCAAGCATGATGTCCTTCTCCAGGGACTGGTCCATCCTGAGAAAATGTCCGAAGTATGAGAGACAAAGTCATCTTTGCTTCTAAGGAAAATTCTGGTTGTACTACTTTCAACACAGATTTGTTTGTTCTTCTGGCAGTCCATTGTTCTTGTTGTTAGGTACCATCAAATCAGTACCGACTCATAGTGACCCTATGCACAACAGAACAAAACACTGCCCGGTCCTGGGCCAACCTCACAATCACCTGAGCCTATTGTTGCTACCCCTATGCCAATCCATCTCTTTGCCAACCCTCCATTTACCAAGAATGATGTCTAGCTCCAGGAATTTGTCCCTACTGATAACATGTTAGAAGTATGAGACACAAGTCTGGCCATCCTGGCTTCCAGGGAGCCTTCTGTCTGTGCTTCTTCCAGAACAGATTAGTTTGTTCTTTTGGCAGTCCTTGGTACTTTTAATAGTCTCCTCCAACACCATCAGTCAAATGCATCAATTCTTCTCAGTCTCCCTGATTCGTTGTTCAACTTTCATATGTATATGAGGCTATTGAAAATACCATGACTTGGGTCAGGTGCACCTTAGTCCTCAAGCTGACATCTTTGCTCTTCAACAACAAAAGGTCTTGTGCAGCAGATTTGCCCAATGCAATACATCATTTGATTTCTTGACTGCTGTTTCCATGAGTGTTGATGGTTGATCCAAGAAGAAGGAAGTCCTTGACAACTTCAATCTTTTCTCCATTTATCTTGAAGTTATTTACTGACCCAGTGGTGAGAATTTTTGTTTTCTTTACATTGAGTTGCAACACATACCAAGGGCTGTGGTCTTTGATCTTCATCAGTAAGTATTTTAAGTCCTTTTTACGTTAACAAGCAAGGCCATTTCATCTGCATATCATAGGTTGTTAGTGAGTCTTCTTCCAATCTTGATGCTACATTCTTCTTCATATAATCCAGAGTCTCTGATTATTTGCTCAGCACAGAGATTGAATAAATGTGGTGTAATAATATAACCCTGGCGCACACCTTTCCTGATTTTAAACCATTCAGTGTCCCCTTGTTCTTGGTTTATGTACAGGCTCCTCATGAGCACAATTAAGTGTTCTGGGATACTCTTTCTCCACAATGTTGTCCATAGTTTGTCGTGATCCCCAAGTCAAAAGCTTTTGCATAATCAGTAAAGCACAGACAAACATCTTTCTGGTATTTTCTGCTTTCAACCAGAGAGCATCTGACGTGTGCAATGATATCCCTCGTTTTATGTCCTTGTCAGAATCTGGCGTGATCCTCTGGCAGTTCCCTGACAATGTACTGTTGCAGCCACTTAAAAATCATCTTGAGTGAAATTTTATTTGCATATGATATTAATAATACTGTCCCATGATCTCTACATTCCATTCAGTCACCTCTCTTTGGAATAGGTACAAATACAGATCTCTTCCAATTAGTTGGCCAGTAGCTGCCTTCCAAATTTCTTGGCATAGATGAGTGAGTGTTCTAGTGATGCATCGGTTATTTGAAAGATTTTAATTTGGATTCCATCAATTCCCAGAACGTTGTTTTTTTTCCAATGCTTTCAGTGCACCTTGGACTTCCTCCTTCAGTATCATTGGCTCTTGATCACATGCTACCTCTTGAGATGGTTGAACATCAACCTTTTCTTTTTGGTACAGTGGCTCTGTGTATCTTTTTTTTCCCATCGTCTTTTGATACTTTCTGCATCATTCAATATTTTGCACAAAGAATTCTTCAGTATTGCAATGAGAGGCTTGAATTTTTTCCTCAGTTCTTTCAGCTTGAGGAATGCTGAGTATGTTCTTCCCATTTGTTTTCTATTCCAGATTTTTGCACATTTCATTATAATATTTGACTTTTTCTTCTCGAGCTGCCCTTAGAGTCTGTTCAGCTCTTTCATCTCTTCATTTCCTCCATTTGCTTTAGCATCTCTGTTGGAAAACAAATGTAAGAATCTCTTCTGATATTAAATTTGGTCTTTTCTTTCTTCTTTATTTTTTAAATGAACTTTAGCTTTCTTCCTGTATGATGTTCTTCATGTCATCCCACAACTCTTCTGGCTTTCTATCATTAGTGTCTAATGCATCAAATCTGTTCTTGAGATGATCCCTAAATTCAGGCGGGATATATTCAAGGTCATATTTTGACTCTCATGGACTTGCTTTAATTTTCTTCAGTTTCAACTTGAACTTGCATATGAGCAATTGATGGTCTGTTCCATAGTCTGTCCCTGCCCTTATTTCGACTGATGCTATGGAGCTTTTCCACTGTCTCTTTCCACAGATGTAGTCAGTATGATTTCTGTGTATGCCATCTGGTGAGGCCTGTGTGTATAGTCATTTTTTATGTTGCTTACAAAAGGTATTTGCAATGAAGAAGTCATTGGTCTTGCGAAATTCTAGCATGCAATCCCCAGCATCATTTCTATCACCAAGACCATATTTTCCAACTACTGATTCTTCTTTTTTCCCAACCATTGCATTCCATCACCAGTACATCTTGATTGCTTGTTTGATCCATATCAGACTGAAGAAGTTTGCAGAATTTTTCAATTTCATCTTCACTGGCTTTAGTGGTTAGTGCGTAAATTTGAATAATGGTGTTAACTAGTCTTCTTGTAGGCGTATCGATATTATCCTGTCATAGACAGTGTTGTACTTCAAGATAGATCTTGAAATGTTCTTTTTAATGATG